CTGACCTGTCAGCACAGAGCCCAACACGGGGCTTGAACTCACAACTGTGAGATCATGACTTGAGCCAAAGTCAGACACTTAATGAGCCACCCAGGTAAACCTCTAATGTTTCTTTTAACAAAGTTTCTCTACTTCAAATTTGCTCTGTTTGCTGTCCACAGAATGCAAATTATGTTATTCTATCTCAACACATCTGAAGAAAGTGGTTTCCCCAACCCAAAATACATATTATTCTTTCCCATCTACCAACTGTATCAATCATATCTTATATCTTTAGATTCCTGGTCAAATCTTACACTTTCATACCTCAGCTGGAATGCTCCTTTCTTCATCAAATTTTCATAGAACTTACTATCTTGTTGTATATGTGACATTTACTGCACGATACTGCCTACTACTTTTAACATATCACATTTAAATATCTTCAGTTAGGTAGTAAACCTCTGGAGGGCAAGAAAAATAAGCACATAATAACTGGAGTCAGACATAGCTGGGCTTACATTCAATTTCTGTTATTTAGGAGCTGTATGAACTTTGCCAAGTTACATCACCATTTCTGAACCCTACTTTCCTCATCTTTAGATAGGTTAAATTATAACTTCCATACAGAACTATTGTTACAATTGAGTAAAATGATGTAAATAAAGCACTTAATGTCAGGCCAAAGTAGCTTTTTGGAAAATGTGAATTACTTCCTCTCACTTTTTCCTCTTTGACAAATTTAAATGCCTCTGCTGCTCTTTGGTTATTCAGGTTAATTATAAATTTCACTTGGCTTTGGTGAACATTCATGTATTTAGGTTAATCCCCACAGTTTACCCCAAATCCTACATTTAGTCAGATGTTCACACTTACTCAGCAAAGCAGTGAGCTGCAGATAATAGCCACCTGCTACTGATCAGAGATGCCCCACAGAAGTGCTGGCCTTTCCATTTCATGCTGGCTTGTCATGGCCATGCCCCCACCAGGGCATTCTTCCCATTCACAATTTGGTTGCCTGCCATGATACTGTTGGCTGGTCTTCCACAACCTGAAGAAAGGATGTATTTATATAAAAGCAGCCATCTTTGATTATGCTTTACGAGAAATACATCTTAAAACAATACTTGAAACCCTTCAGTGATTGTCCAGAATCTCCTAAGCAATGCTACCTCTTTCCTGGAATGTACTGTGATCACGGTACCTGACTCTATCTTGGCTTGGGTGACTTTTACTTATCCTCTTTTTCACTCTCAATCATCTTCCAATGACTGTTATTTTATCTATTTGTTGTAAGTCTCATCTCTCCAAGTAGATTGCAAAATTCTTGAAGGTAAAGACTTTACTTCTGTATGCCTGCATCTTGCATAGCATATGCAGTGCTGTCTGTAAAGCCCCATGTGGATAATAGATACACCATAAATATCCATTAAGTGAAAGAATGCATGTATGTATCTTGTGGACAACATGATACTCTAAAGAGAATTTATTTAGAAGATACAAAACTATTTTTACTCTATAATAAATGTATTTGGGATAGCCTACTTTTATATTTTCTTATTATCCTTCGTTGTCCTTTTTCCCTTTAATCTTTTTTATTTTAACTTACTCAGATATGATATTCTTCATTAATGATTCCATTCTTTGGAAACAGCTCTTATTTCATCCTTTTGGACAACTCTTACAAAAGTTACAATTCACAGGCCAGTGTTTTTCAAAAAGCAATTCCAGATCTATATCTGATATAGCCAATAATTTTGAAAGACTACTATAGATTTCCATATTACATATTTCAAGATACTTTTTAGGAAAGTGATAGGGAAATATTTGTGAATGAGTTAAGTTTGTCATAATTTCTTAACTTACAGTTGTTGGTAAGCATTTCAACATTAGCCTTGCTGATTTCTGAAATTAAAACAAAACATAAAATTAATAAAATATCACCAAGAAATTATCTTCAATCCAAGGACATATGTGCTAACTTTTCTAGCCCAATTACACCCAACATTTAACTATTCAGTCTAATTCACATATTAGCTATCAGCCCCTCTACCTCCTACCTGTTATATTTTGGCCATCTCTCCACATCTCTACTAGCTAGTAAAGGAAAGGGGAAAGGGAAATAAAAAAAAAGTTCTCAATTTTACGATAGTTGCAGTAAAATATTTAGTGAGATAACAAGCTGACGTTCTCACTAAAAAAGGCACTGGGAATTAATTATCTTTGGATTTATTTCCTTATGATAATTCTCATATGAATTACTCCAAGTTATCTATAAAGAAAAATTTTCCAATTAAAATCATATTTCATTGGGCTTATCCTTTTCTTTAGAGTCATCTCATTACCATGACTGAATTATGAAATTTTGAGAATTTAACTTAAATTCAAGTATCTTTTCTATTGTGAAGAGACTTGAGAGACAGAGAGAAGGTGGGGAACTACAAGAGGACCCACTAGCAAGTGTTCACTTTAAATCCCTAGGACACAGAGAGGCAACCTTCTTTCCCAATAGCTACACACAGAGGAATTGTATTGTTCTTTTGAGAAGCTCTGCCTCAAACTCTGTTCTCATAAGTGGTCCAGTGATAACAGGTATTCTGAGGTAAAGGAGCTGTAACTGGCAGTTGTCAGCCTTGATAGCCTTAAAGGACACTAGGATCACCTGTCGGTCTGGAAGAACCACAAAACTGGGTTCTGGAACCACACACTTATCACCTAACAGGCCTTTTAACAATCCAAATAAGAGTTTCAAGACCTTTTCAGGACCCTCAAGATATTTACAGACTTCATTTTCTGAACTGGGGCAAAATCCTATCATTTTCTTCCCTTGTTTTCTAGGAAATTATTCCAGACAATTGGTTTTTCTTTGATAGTATCATTCCCATTCTTCCATAAGAGCAGTGAAAACTCCCTATCCCCAACTTCCTTCTTATTCTAGCAGTCTCCACAATGAATGATCAACTAAGCCCCAAATCTGTTTCCTGTAATGAGATCCTGACAAGAGTAGAGTGAAGGGGGAATAATGCTTTGCTTACAGTCCTTCATCCTATTTTTCAAACATAAACGTGAAACCTTGCAAGCTCACATGCATGCCCATACTTTAGTCCTCCTTTCTATCACTCTTCAAAGATTTTATGCCACTGTCATTTCCAACTCGTTCATAGGATTGCCAACATGTGAGAAGTATATTTTTCCCCAAAGCAAATTCCTGAAACTCCTAATTAATTTTTTCTAATATTTTTTTCAAACAGTCCAAAAACCTAAGTAATAGAAAATAATGGAAATAAGTGAAATACCTATGAGTCTAAAGGAAGTATGGACTGCATTCCAGGATGCCATGTTGTTTTTCAATATCTGATGTAAGATAGCTTCAATTTCAGTCTTCATGCTGTGCCTTTTTGCTGGAGGAAACTTGAATGTCAGTTGTAACTGTACCCTTGAACCATTGGGATCAGGACAAGAAACAACAGAAATGTTCTAGTGTGTTGTTTCTTGATATTTCAAGATGTCTTGTTAACACATTGAATTTCCCACATTTAATCATCGTATTTCCTTTACATATATATTAAAGAACAATACACAGATATTATCTCAGTATGTATAAAGTGCAAGTGTCCCTAAAAATCTTCTAACTGGTTCAAAGGTATTATTCATGGAAGAAGATATGAACTACAAACTAGAAATCAGAATAATTCAAACACACATGAGAAACTGAGTACTGGCCAGCAAATGATTGGTGTAAGATTTTATTAAAACAGTAAAAACCATGTTCTTGTACAGATATTTTCTAATTACTTTAGATAAAGAGATAAATGGAAACAAAAATGCAGTACCAGGAAACATTCAAAAGATAACTCCTAGCATATATTCAGGAGTCAGTACTAAGCTTCTCCCTATAGTTTCTCATACATCTCTACCCCAACAGAACTGCACAATGAGAAAGCTCAGAAAGATAACTCCAAAACATAGAGAGAATCTCTATTGTCTATATATTCATTACATCCTTTTTATTAATTATGAAAGGAGATTAATTCATTTTTGGAGACTTTCAAAACAAATCACATAAAAAAATATCCACAACTCTATTTTCAAAAAATTATGATCAATAGAAGAGTCTTTGAAAGTTTTTATTTGTCTATAGGTAAGTAGGTTAGTTGGTTGGTTTTTTGGCAAGCTGAATTTTTTATTTTGGTACTTCAGAATTCCCCCCGAATGGATATTGGCAATTACCAAAATACAAGTACTGTCCCTCTTTATCACTCATCCCCAGTGTTCCATGATACTTCCTCCTTGCATCCCTCCTGTCTACCCCCATACTCAAACCACTTCAAAGACATATTCAGACAAGTATTATCTTAAATTATTCACTTTGCTCCACAGTCATTATAGTGATAGTAATTATTAAAGAGACCAAAAGAAAGTTATTATAGTAAAGATATAGCCAGATGGGAATGGATGGGAGAAGAGGAGGCTAGTATATGAATACCAAAACAATAAGATTGGACTCTGTTTTCCACAGAGTTACAATGATCTTTCATCATAGTAGTCAGTTAGGACTGGCTGCTATCAACAACCTTATAATTCCCCTTCAAGTATGGAGGTTACAGATTTGTACACAACAGTTCTTACTCTGAACAGATATTTGTTAACTGCAATTATATTTTAATTTATGGAGATTTCTTCCTTCCTTTCTTTCTCTCTTTCTTTCTTTCTTTCTTTCTTTCTTTCTTCTTCCTTTTATTGTTGTTATTTAAAACCACAGTTGATGTGACATATCGTCTACCTCCCTTTCCATAAGATCCTGACTGAATTTGTACTTACAGAAGTTTGATGACCTGAGAGTTGATATATTCTTTATATATACTAGAATTTTGAAAAACATCAGACATCTGTCAAGAGAAAAAAACAAAATAGCCATCATGTCTGTTTCAATCAAATTTATTATGAAATTATTAAAAGGAATCTCTGATTTACCTTAGTCTCTATATTTTTGTTCAGATCTGTGCTGGCTTGTGAAGCTCCATTTTCACAACTATCATTGTGTGTAACTCCAGAAATATGAAAATCACCTTGGTAATAGAAAATATTTCCTGGGAAACAAAGAAATACTCAAAGAATTTAAAAATAACAGGTAGACTCAAATCCCTCCATACTTTTGTCTCAAAATTAACATTCGACCCAGATTTTTAAATTATCAGAGGGAGGGAGAAAGGAAGAGGAGGGAAATGAAGGGGAGTGACTATCCACCCATTCTAGAAATAGCAACTACCCAGTATTCATGAAGTGGTCCCCCTCCTTTCTTCATATGATAATAGACACCACTGCCCTGCCAAGCCAGGTATACCCTCAGCATCCACAGCAGAACGGCAATCCAGGCAGCCACTAACAATCCACTTTAGTGTGCACTAGAAATGAAACCTACTTTTTATGTGTAATCTAAATTCTTGATCTAGTGATTACCCAGTTAATCTTTCTAAACACTTCTGACACACTGCCCCTCCCCCATTCATGCTCTGTCTCTCTCTGTCCCAAAAATAAATAAACGTTGAAAAAAAAAAATTAAACACTTCTGACACAGGAAACATTACAAACATTTCCCTTTTCTTTCTGGATGATCTATACCCTTTTATAACTTTTCTTCTGCCCCATTTCCTATCTGCCTGCTTTCCACTCTTTTAAGTCATTCCTTGAATTCCTGCTGCCATCCTACTTCCCTCCAGCATATATGGTGGAGCATCACAAGGTCTCACATTCCCCATTCCTTCCTGTCCCCAAATGTAAAATGTCTCACCTAATATACTAGGGCCACTGTAATGTTAAAATAGGACAAGCCTAGAGGTAGTTCTTCTACATTATGCATGTACTTTTAAAAATAGAAACTCATATGAAATGGTACTCTGTTTTGGTTAAGCAATTATCCATTCATATATTTTAAGAGCAATTGTACTTTTGATTCACCTTAAAAAGTACTATAGAGTCTCTAAGGAGTGCTAATAATAATAATAGGCTTTGAAATATATATGATCTCTGAAATGAAATAATGCATTATCCCGGGAATCAGAAATATCATTTCAATCTAAAATAAAAATTAGTTTCCTATATTCCAATGGTTTCCTATATTTTTCCTTATAGCAACTGGTATATATGAAAAGCAAATGCTAGGTTCTAGCTAAGAAGTTAGCTAAGGTCATTCTGAAAAAAATAATGCATATGAAGTTAAAGAAACTAGTTTAAGCTCTGCCACCAATGGGCTGTGCTGTACTGGTATATCACTTCAGCTTTCTGGGATTTTTTTCACTAATCACAAAGACTAAATTGCAATAAATAAACTCCAAGATCCTGTTTCATACCACTTCATGATTTTAATCTATGAAGTCTTTCATCAAATAGAAGACTGACCAACTAGAATCTGCTAATTTTGTGTTATATCCAGTATGCTGAACTTGGGTATTTACAGGTAGTCAGATTAAATTGTCAAAAGTCACATATATCATGCCCATATTCAAAGAAACCATGATGTTTAGATACTTGAGTCTAGTTATATTACTGAAAATCAGAGTGATTTGAGGTGCAATTTTTAAAAAAATTTTTAAAGGTTTATTCATTTTTCAGAGGCAGAGACAGAACGTGAACGGGGAAGGGGCAGAGAGAGATGGAGAAACAAAATCCAAAACAGGCTCCAGACTCTGAGTTGTCAGCACAGAGCCCGATGGGGGGCCCCAACCCATGGACAGCAAGATCATGACCTGAGTCAGCTCAGGTCTGACGGACGCTTAACCAACTGAGCCACCCAGGCGCCCCATTGAGGTGTAATTTTTAAGTTTATTTTCCCTTGGTTTTTGTTTTTATTATTTTATTTTATTTTATTTTATTTTATTTTATTTTATTTTATTTTAGAAAGAGAGAGCGAGTAGAAGAGAAGGTGGGGTGCGGGGGGAGAGAGAGAGAGAGAGAGAGAGAGAGAGAGAGAATCTTAAGCAGGCTCTATGTGTAGCACAGAGCCCAATGTGACCCTGGGATTGTGACCTGAGCCAAAATCAAGTGTTTGACACTCAACCAACTGAGCCACACAGGCATCCCACCCTTGATTATCCTTATGAACTGAATTGTCCCCTTAAAATTTATATGTTGAAGCCCTAACCCCCAATGCGCCTATATTTAGAGATATGGCCTTTAACAAGGTTATTAAGGTTAAATCAGATCATGAATCAGGTCATAGGGTTAAGTCAGATTCTAGTAGCCTTATAAGAAGAGACACCAGAGACTCTTCCTTCTCTCTCTCTTTCTCCACAAACTACCCACCAACTCCATATGCCACAGAAAAAAAGGCATGTGAGGCAACATTGACCATGCTGGCACTCTGATCTTGGCCTCCAAACTGCAAGAAAATGAATATCTGTTGTTTAAGCCACTCAGTCTCTGGTATTCTGTTATGGCAGCCTGAGCTGAATAATACAATTATTTAGACAACTTGAATGGGAACCTACCCTGTACCTTACACTGTGGCCTATAAAATCATAGTCAGTGTTACAGGCATAGCAATAGTCAGTATTTACATTATAATCTGAGCCCATCCCAAAGTTTATAATAAAATCTTTTATTTTAAGATAGAAATAAATGTTATTACCTTTATAAAACATTGCCTTAGATGCATAGATTGCAACACTGTCTATCAGAATAACACTATCAGAATAACTACAGAGCTCCTAAAGGCACACATGGGCAGGTCCTGCCTCAGTTCCACTGAATCATAAAACATAAGGGAAGGGCCCAAGGAATGGATACTTCTTTAGAGGAGCTCTACACGTGATTCTGAGACAAAGCCAGGGCTTAGCACTGCTAGATAAACAATCTGAAGGACTTTTTAATTTGTAAATGTCTGTGTAAGCTTTTGGAAATAGTTTAAATAGTAGTTAAATAAAATAGTTAAGAAAGGGCTGAACCAGAGTCATTTCTAGAATAATGATCCTTGTGGAATAGTAATTTCTGAGGTAACTCAAGAAGTAGAAACTCAAAATAATGTCTTGAGAAACAATATATTCAACAGACAAGCGAATTTCATACCACTTGAATGAGAGATTAGGTCTCATCCAACTCAAGTTGTTCTTAGTATTAACAAAGACTGTATTGGTTCCTAAGCCAGAACCTGAGAGCAAACCCGTCTTTTAAGCTGACTCTAGGTGACCTTTACAACAGAGTTTGGGTACCCATTTTTACTTCACAAGGAGCCCAGTTCAATTAACTTCAGGTAATAAAAGTCCATCTAGCCTTATATTTGAAATATTAGGTGGTTCACCATACAGAGAAAGTCAAGGGCAAATTCTCATCCCACACATACCTTGCTTAAGCCAGGATGCCTACAGTTCTCCTTTTGTCTCCTGTTCATGAATGCATTGTTTCTCCAGAAGAAGGGACTTATTAAAACGCAAATTATATTTTGGAAAGATAACTAATTAAGCTACTGGCCTTCTTCACTGGGCTTGATTTGGTAAACTCAGAGCACTTTCCTTAAGGAAATTATATAATGGATGTTATTCTTTAATGAGGAGAATCAAGCAGAGGGCAGAAGAATCCAGACTACAGAGAGTTCAAGGACAGAAATGGCACACAAGAGACTGTAAGCATACATGACCCTTCTGAAGGACAAGTTTTGAAATTGGAGATCAAGATAGTTAGAGAAAACAAAGGAGAGGCCAGAATGAAGGAAAAACTAGAACTTTCACTGTATTAGGCAAAATGTATCCTACACTGGATACATATCCTACACTATACAGGGTAATGTATTTCAGAGGAATAAAAAAGAAAAACTTATGATAAAGTAAAATAATACACTTAAATATTAAGGTTTCGGTTTCTGCTCATCTATGACATTTAAAAGCCTATGATAACAAGTGTTTGACTTTTCTTAATCTTGGTTTTTTGCATGTGAAAAAAGAGATAATAAAACCTACCCTCCTTCACTCAAAGGATTAGTATGAGGATCAAGCAGAATAATGGATATCAAATTTATTTGAAAACATTAAATAGCTACACAGACTTAAGGGTTTATTTTTCTGAAAGGTAAAAATAAGTTGGAAAGCCAAACTTTCTGAGTGTAGTATTAATTTTTTTAAATAGGATCAAATTTACATAAACATTCAGCCATTCAGCCACTTCTACTATCTACTATTAGATGAGCCACTTGTGGATTATCCATTCTTATTTTGCAATTGTATCTTAACAACCAGAATTGAGCCAAGAAGAATAAGGATTTCCAAAATTTTAGGTATATTTACTAAAAGACATAACAGCTCAACTACTGACCTAATACATATGTTCCTTTATTGACAATGCATCTTGGCATCAAAATATTGAGCTTTTCAGTTTTGCCATACTCTCATAGTTGGTAATATGTCAGAGTGGCTCAATGAGGCATTTGATTCAAAAAAATTTTTAACTGGTATTAAATAATAGAGAATGATTACGTTGGAACATAGTTAATAGATGAGAAAACTTCCATTAAGAAATTTAATATTTATATTATTTCTTATCAATTTCTAAAAGTAAAAGGAGATTTAGCAGTAAGGGTGAAAATGGAAAATAGTCAATACTGACACACTGCCAGAAAATGAACAAGGAAACCAATAGTTACTCCCAAGACTGCTGTCACTCCAAGAAAGATAAGGATCACCATCCATACTGGCCAAGATCTTCTCTGGGAGAATATTCTATGCCTATGAAAAGAAGAAAATAGCTCAAATCAGATGGGCTAGATAGTCTAAATTTGCCTGGCTCTCCTCACCTCATACAACACAATTTATAATTAGGCTCTTATGTTAGTATGAAACATAGAAACCTTAAACATCTCAGAGAAGATAGACTCTAATGTCCATTCCTTTAACAAATCATATTCGATTTGTTAGCTATGTTAGCTTCTAGGGATATAGCAGTGAGCAAGATACACATGGTTTTTGTCCTCAAAAAGAGAAATTAAATTGCTCTTTTTATTGATCTAAAGCGGGTTACAAAACATTAAGTGTGGTCTGATTGTATTTTTGTAAACTATAGTTACATCATGTACATTAATATATATAGACTTAAAAATAAATATATAATATAACCATTTATAAGTTTTAATTAAATGTGAAAGGAAAATCATGAGGTCAACTAGAGTTGTCCCATGTTATGAGATTATGGGTAGATTATTTTCTTTTTTTGTTTACTTTTTTCCTAACTATATTTTCTAATCTTTCCATAATAAACATGGATTATTTGCATCATATAAATTAAGAAACAGGCAACTTTCATCACTAAAACCAATCAATTAGATGAAGAATAATCAGAAAATATGGTGACTTGGCATCACCCTAATAGAGTGATCGAGGTTACAATTAGGTCTTATGGCTACCCTTAGTCTAATCTATATAAAGTTTGACACTAGTTATTTCATATACTTTGAAAGACATGATGTCATGAAATTGCTGATTTGGAGGAAGTACTGTAACACATACACATAATAATCTGATTTCAAATTTCAAAATAGCCCCAGCTCTTTCCTCAATCTTTTGTGTTCATCATCCTAAACAAAACTTGCAAAACAGAGGAGTTTGTAATCAGGGGATATATGTGGCAGATTGGCAGATATTCCTTATGAATATGAGAATCTTTCTGTTTTGATTCCTCTAAGACCAATTTATTTTTCTGTAGAGAAGTTCCTTAAAAAAAATTACCTTATGACACAACTGTGCAACTCCACCCAGTCTTATTTCCTCTCTGCCCTGTTCTCTACTCTTAATCCTGCCTCTTCTTGATACCCCTTTGATGATTTGTTAATGAGTGCTTCCCAAAACTGGGATTATTTGTCAAAGCTCTGCAAAGGAACTCCCTATTTCAGATGCATTGCATGCATGCCTTCATTCTGGAATCCTGCTGCTTAATCTCATCCTCAGAGCAAAAAGGCTATTCAGGTATTATGTTTCTTACACCAAATAAATCACACCTTAAAAGGAGTATAATTAAGGTAATTGATAATAATATTTCCAACCTTATGAATATCTGATAATATGTCTCTTTTAATAACCAGAAAAGTTTACCGTGATATTGAGGTCTCAAATTTGTTTTGGATTAGCCAGGTGGAGGTTAGTCTGGTAGCTTCATCTTTCTGAGACATGCAAATTAGTTTGAGGAACTTAAACATTTATGTAGCCTGAGTGGTGACTCTAAAGTGGCTGAAATGGTTTCTATACAAAGAATCACTATGCTACAGCTTATAAAACATTTTTCTTTGAAAGCTTCTTTTAGAAGCTCTGGGAAGTGGTAGAGAATACATACTGTTGACTAGAGCACTGATGCTTTTCTCCCCCTCATTATGGATGTCTTCCTATCATAAACAATTAAGGAGATACTTTTATATCTAAAAGATCACAGTGGTGTATGATGTATTCAACCTTTCCTCCAGAAAATGTGATAGTTGGGCTCGAGGAATTGGTCATTATTTTTGAATAATAGCTGAAATTATTAAAATGAAGTTCTAAATATTTTAAAAGTTCCATTCATGAAACAACTTACTTTCTCATTTACCAAATTAATCTTGGCCATTTTTTTAAAAACTTTATTTATTTTTAGAGAGCGAGCAAGAGAGAGAGAGAAACAGGTGGGGGTGGTGGGGAGGAGCAGAGTGATAGGGAGAGAGAATCCCAAGCAGTTTCCACTGTCAGCACAAAGCCCAAAGCAGGGCTGGAATTCACAAGCCTTGAGACCATGACCTGAGCCGAAATCAAGAGTTGGATTCTTAATCTCCTGACCCACCTACATGCCCCTTGGCCATTTTTAAAGACAGAAACCTGCCTTCCAGGATGAACTCATTTAACAAAGAGAATCGGTTAAAAATTAATCTACAATGAATTTAACCAACTGTATGTACATAATTAAACTATAACTGCCTCATTTTAGTATTGAATCTAATTCAAGTTAGGGCTCATCATTATTCTGGTATAATCAACTGTTCACCTTAATCAGTTACAATAATAATGTCGATAAAAATAATGGTAACTACACGATTCATAATTTTAAAACATTAGTCTCACTATAATTTATCCCCACAGTCCATACCAGGAATCATTTCCTAGATTATATTCTAACTACATTCTGATATTGCATTAGCTGTTAAACCACAAAGCATAAATGTAACTATAGTTTTCATTTATTAGAACTTCATTTACAAACCATTTGAATTAGATGCACCTGAATTCTGTTATACAGTGAACAGTGTGTTAAAAAGCAAGATTCCAGTGAGAAATTCCCCAAATTTTATAAAGATAAACCTTCCCCCCCGCCCCCAGAGGACTTTAAATCGTTAGGGAAAGAGTTGTGAATAAGGAACAGGGAAATTAATGATCAAATGAGTTGAATGATCTCCACCTCTAACTTTCCCCTAAATTCTAGAAAAGCAGAGAGCCTACGGAAGGGAATTCATTTCAAAATCTATGAAGTTCTGAGCCCCTCTGTAGTCTGCCTGCTACCAATTCAGGACCTAAGTTACAAAGTACATTATTCCAAAAATCCATGATGGAATTTATATTTTTAAATTATTTCCCAGAAAACATTTTCATATTTAGAAGATACAATTTCAATTACATTACTAAAGAACAAAAATGGTAGGGTTCTTATAAAAAAAGTAAGCAAAATTTTGCTAAAACTGGATTCTTTTATTCCAACTTTGTAAAACTTTCCCAGAGACTTTGCAGAGCCTTTAAACCTCAAAAACAGCATGTTTTTTAGCAGTGTCTAGAAATAAAAATCTAACTTATAGAAAGCAACCAGTTTTTAAAAAGCTAGAAGATACTCTAGCAACTTGCTAGGGTTTGTAACTTACCTCCCAGATAAAATCCCATTTACCTGTACATAATATTCTGATTGTTGTGGTGGTGTCAGGGACAATGGTGGTGGTGATGATGATGGTGACAACGATGATAGTGATAATTAAAATGACCTCTTAGAGTAGCTTTTAAGGTGATCAATGTTTCACAGGCTTATGTGCTACATTCAATGTTGATTGGTTTGTTTTTATGGGCTGTGTGAAATGTACAGAACAAATATGATGAAACTTGTCTGACTAGTACTAATGACTACCATTTTTCTATGGTTTCAAGAGAGGAGTCATCCAGGGAATCACAAACTTCCTTGACTTGACTATTTAGAAAAAAATAACAGCCTAGTCTTAGATTGGTCACCTAGAAGTTACAGCCAAGAAACAGGTTTGTCGTAAAGAGGGAAAATCCTAAATCTGTGTTTGACTGATCCATTATACTGGCTTCTTCTTCCACAGTTTGACATCGGCTATAACGAGGCAGAAGTTTCTGTCAAATGATTTTTCACAAGGTATCCATTTTAATATAACTAGTATTGCCATCATTCTGATGTAAATGAATTGTATTCATTATGGTTTACATTTAAATTTCCCTAATTGCCAGTGAGAATGATTCTCATTCTCATTCTGGGCTTCCTCTTCTGAGAATTCTGTTCATATATCTAGCTTACTTTTTCTATTGGGTTATTTATCTTTTTTTTTTTTATGGATATGTGTGAGTTCTCTCTGTATACCGGATATTGCAATTCTGCATGTAAGGAGCTTGGAGGTTGCCATTCCATCCTAATAATAAGTATAAAGCTTAACAGACTTTGAAATCAACAACTCATTTTGGATCCATAATATAGAGGAGGACACAGAGCAAACAACTGCCCCAAATATTGGAAAGATAGAGAATACAGTGAGTCTTGACTTAACGGAGTCAAGACTCAAGAGCAGAAAACATCATGGGAACCAGGGCTGGGATAGGAAAACCTGAACTGTAACTGACAGTTGGAGTTGTTGGAGATTTGGTATGGATAACTCTGAGAGTTAAAAACAACAGAGGGGTCCAGTTACAGAGGGACCCCCACAGTATTGTGAAATTTACTTCCAGAAATTCAAACAGATTCCCACAATATATATCAAAGAAAAAAATCCCTTTGGGCTTCTGGCAGGGAGAGGGAAAACAAATATTCTGGAGTACTCTATAGTTCTTAAAAGGCCTGACAGTGGGGACAACTAGTTAATCAAAACCTAACCTGTTGGGGTATTAGCAGAACCTAACTGACCTGGGAAAGGGAAATACCCAACCTCAGACCATTCAGAACACGGGGAAAAAAACTGAGAAAACACTTGTGAAGTTCATAGGGCAGAGGCATAGGCACATTAAAAGATTACACTTAATCTTCAGTCTATAGAACACTTTTCTTCTCCCTACACCTTACCACCACATCACTAAAGTTCTGTTTATAGTAGCTCATTTACCTGGTATATCATGTCCAGTTATCAGGGAAAATTTACAGGACATACCAAAAGGAAAAAACAAAACAAAACAAAACAGAAAAACCCTCAATTTGAAGAGACAGAATAAGCATCAGAACAAGACACGCCAGGGATGTTGGAATTATTATACCAGGAATTTAAAATAACTATGATTAATAGCTATGGTTAAAGCTGATAACTTTAATGGATAAAGTAGAGGGCATGCAAGAAAAGATGGGAAATGTAAGCAGAGATGGAAATACTACAAAAAAAAAAAAAAAAAAAAAAAAAAAAAAAGAAATGTTAGAGATAAAACAAAACCAAACACTAAAATAGAAATACATAATTCCTTTGAAGGGACATAACAATCCTTAATGTGTATGCCTAACTATAGTGTCAAACTACTTGAGGCAAAAAGCAATAGAACTCCAAGGAGAAATAGATGAATCCATCACCATAGTCTGACACATATACAGAAACACATCTATATCAGAAATGGACAGATCCAGCAGCCAGAAAATCAGGAACAGCACAGTTGATCTTAACACCATCAATCAACTGGATATAATTGACACCTATAGACCACTTCATCCAACAATAGAATACATATTCTTCTCAAGAGCACATGGAATATTCATCAAGGGGGACCACATTCTGAACCACAAAACACACCCTGACAAATTCAAAAGAATAGAAATCATACAATGTCAACTCTTAGACCATAATGGAATTAAACTAGAAATAGCAATAATAGAAAGGTAACTGGAAATCCCATAATGTGGAGGTTAAATAACATACTTCTAAATAACATTTGTCAAGAGAACTCTCAAAAGAAATTTTGAAATATTTTGGAACTAAATGAAAACAAAACCACAACATGTCAAAACTCATGTGAAGCAGTGCTTAGAAAAAAATGTATAGCATTAAACTCATATACAGTTGGCCCTTGAACAAAAAGGGGCTTAGGGATGCTGATCCCACACCACCCCATGCAGTCAAAAATCTGCATATAACTTGACTCCCCCAAAACTTAACTACTAATAGCCTACTGTTGACTGGAAGCCTTACCAATAACATAAACAGTTAACACATATTTTGTATTTGTATTACATATCTTATTCTTACAATAAAGTAAGCTAGAGAAAAGAAAATATTATTTAGAAAATTTTAAGTAAGAGAAAATACACTTACAGTACCGTAAAAAATCTGTAAGTGAACCTGTGCAGTTCTAACCTGTGTTGTTCAAGGATCAACTGTATTTGATTTACTTTGTCCTATTGTAAATGGTATTATTCTGTAAATTTCATGTTATACTTGTTGCTGGCATATAGAAATACAATTGATTTTTGTATATTGAACTTCTTTCCAGAAAACTGACATTTATTTTTTTCTAATTTGAAC